CTTCATTTTTATCGATAACAGGAACACATTTTTTTTCTTGTATCTCGAAGATTACATAGACTTTAATTACGAAACGTCGTGTATAAATATAATATATATAGTGCAAGATTATTTATTTATTATAATATACCCAATTTGGAGATATATTCTCTTATAAGTTTGACTTTTGCAATTTCTTACACTTGATTAGATTGTTTAGTTTTTATAAACGAAATTCAAAGTCTTTGGTGATGTTTCGAAAAAAAAAAAAAATGTAGAAGAAAAAAAAAGGAAAGAAAGACAAGGAAAAGAGGGATCGTGGTTGGCAGGGTCCCGACCTAAACTGAGAGAAGAAGTCACACACGAATTAGAACCTGCTCTTCGGCGACGTCGGGGCGCCGGGTGGACGCAGAGGAATGCCGCTCGCTGATAAAAGCCACGGCCAACACCTACATAAATTTCACCAAGGGGATATCTAAGGACGCTCTTTCGTTCATTTAACCATACATCCTAAATTTAGTACCGGTGTGAGATGTTAGTGTGCCATCGTACTATTTCCCTTTTTTCTTTTTTTTTTTTTAATACACCCGGCATCGATTAGAACTCGACCCATTTAACAATTTTCCACGAGCAAAAGAAGAATAACGAGCACGATATAGATTACGCCAGGAGGTGGAGGGGGGGGGCGTAAGAAAATAAGCAGCGATTAAAAAATTCAAATGAATATTTGTACGAATGAAAATAAAAGATAGAATAATCTTGTATTTTTATTGTTAGTAATAATGTTTTCGTTTACGGTCGATATAGATAGAATTCGCTATCTCGATAGAAATAACATTAGATTAAAACAAATCTGAAAAGCATCGTTTCGATATCTCGATCTAATAAGAAGCAACAATGTTCTCTCTCTCTCTCTCTCTCTCTCTCTCATACACACTTTAGAAGCTGTTACTCTTTCTATTCCATAAAATCTATGGAGTGTAAGATATCCAAGAAGAGAACACGTTTCAATGGATCATTCGATGCGATCATTCGATGCGATCATCTCGATTATGTGTATCCTTCATCGAACCGAACCGGTGAAAGCAAGCTTACCGAATGCGCATACACATTCGTACAAACACAAACTCGCATACACGTAGGATAGCCACGCATACTTAAAGACGAACACACTTGTATGGTAGAAACGAGAGCCGCGACTTGTAAGGTGCATTCCCGATCCTGCTACGAAACTGGCTGGGCTGGACAAAAAAAGGGAAATAATTAGCGGAGGTGTTAATGAAATACCAAACGAACGCCGTGGGACACCAGGTCGGCGCCTCTGAACTGCCAAGCAGACATCCTCGACATAGGACCCGGCGCCGTTTTCTCTACCATCCTCGTCCTCGTCCTCGTCCTCGTCCTTTTCCTTTTTTTTTATCGATAACTGTATACTTCTCCAATCTTATCCTTTCCCTTCCTTTCTTTTCCTTTTTTTTTTTTTCTTGTTATCAATTTCGTCTTATACGAACAAAAATTCCATGTGTACTCGTATTCATTTTTGAAGTATTTTTAAATCATTCTTATGTAGAAATAGGATATCAATCTAATATACTTGGAATCAACTTTTATATCATTTTGATCGTATCGAAGCCTTTAGCATTCGCACGAAATTAGTATTCTTCGGCGTAATTCACTCTCGATCATTCGTGATTAATTTCCCTGTAAGATCCTTATCGTTTATCACGACATCGATTCGATTCATCATTCATCGTTATCGTTCTCATAACATTGCAAACGTTTCCATAGTGGAACTCGAAGGAGAGAGTCTTACTATTTTCGTCTCTCTTCCTTTCTCGGAAAGAAGGTTTAGGCAAAATAAAAAAGGAAAAAGAGATCGGAAAGATATCGGTCGAACAAAAAGTAACAATTCGCCACCCACGTTCTCTCCACCGGTAGCACCCGTGCCTACCCCCACTCTTTCTACCTTTCTCGAATTCTTCTTTTCCTTTTTTTTTTCTTTCCTACAAGGCGGCTTCTACTCGCATAATTTTATTATCCTTTCACAGCGTGTCACCAAAATCCAGTTTTGCTACCGATCAATCCAGTCTACCCGCGTGAAATTTGAGATCTACTTTCGTCAAGCTATGGTAATCCTTCAAATCTCCTAACGTTGATTATCCATTTTTTCCCATACATTTTACTACTTTTCTTTCATTTATTAATAATAACGACATATTAATAAAATACATAAGTCGATTGAAATATCCATCCAAATTTGAATGAGTCGTGTAAGAATATGCAAATAGTAATCTTATGGTAGGATAAACCAAGTGTTACTTTCTTACATTTAATTTCTAATAACACGTTATATGCGATTATTAACAAAATGACCTATCTTATAATAATAAATGACGAAAGAAAAATTATCTGCAATGCATAAACTTTTATAATAATTATTATTACAACGTAGTACAAAGAAAATAAGGAGGAGTTTTCGTCGGAACGAAAATACAAAAGGATTGTCTGGAAGGGTGAGGAAGGAGGAGGAGTATAAGTACGCGTTCGGATACTCGGATGTTCCTTATTTATGCGGCGCGTAAAGAAGCTTCGACTACACGAGTGGTACAACCCTTGAACTATATATATATATATATATATATATATATATATATGTATACATTTATGTGTGTAATGCTCGTACGCACGACCAGATTTAAAAGAGAGAGAGAGAAAGAGAGATACGAAGCGGTGTGGTCGTCTCTGGAAGCTAATGGGACGCCAACGCGTTTTCTTTCTCTCTTGCACTCACGTGGTACACACTTATAGGATGATATTTTTCTTTCTCTCTTTCCTTACCCGAATCCCTTTGATCCTGACCGACCTTGCCCTCGTCTCTCTTTTTCTCCTTTCTTCCCTCGCACCTCCAACTCTTTCTCTCTCTCCCTCTCTCTCTCTCTCTCTCTCTCTCTCTCTCTCTCTCTCTTTCTATACACTCGTGTATTTTCCTTCTCTTTCTTTACTTCCTTCTACACTCCTGACCTTATCCCGAACAGTCTCGAGAATTTTCATGGTGGTCGCACGCGTTCCATTCGAAAGGAAAAAAATAGTCTCGTCTCCCTCTCTAACACTGTATCGAATAGGCGAGAAAAATAGTGAAGAACGCGCGTAACGCGGGGCCTTACTTTTCATTTTCATTTAACTTTTCTTTCTGTTTGTTTTTTTTTTATTTCGAAGCACGTGGACGGCCAGTTGGTTATTTGCTCGTTTGGTGTACCCCGCAAGGATGCTTTGGAAAGATAATTATCGGATACATCTAATGACTTTTTCAGTTAAATATAAGTTTGAATAAAATTAGAATAAAAATGTTTTTTCTTTTTCTTTCTTTTTTTTTTTTTTTTTGGTATTTATAAATCTAGTTGATTCTTTGAAAGATTTGTTAGGGAAAGAAAGGGAGTGATATTGTTGTTTAAAAAAAAAAAAGGAATGTACGCTCGGCAAAGTTGTCGTACAAATCGTCAGACGTCGTCGCGTGAATTTATGACGACACAGCATCCGAAACAGACCGTTTTACGTTTTTTGTATAGGATATGGTGGTGCTCAATGGTCCCGACTACGGAGAATCCTCTGGTGGTGGTCGGGCTTTTTTATCGGCCGACTCTACGGAGACGCGTTGACATGGAGAAAGAGAAGAAAACTCGCGGACCGTTTCGGTATCCACAAAAAGATACACGATTTCTACGTTCCAAACAAAACCGGCTCGATCCTATCGCCGAGAGAACAAAAAATACGATTTTTTGGTATCTTTAAGAGAAAGAGAGAGGGGGGAGAGAAACGTAATTTACTAATGACCGTCCTGTCATTCTTTTCCTATCGGTGCGATATCAAAATACCATTTGAAATACTAGTCTAAACTAGTATCATAACGAGTTCCTTAATTACATTCACCAGAATATAATTTATACTGAACAAATATTAAAATCTTTATTAATTTACACACGGATTAGCGTTACTCGTAAAAGAAATAGAAGGCAAAAAATATGAAGCGAATGTAATAATGGATGCACCAAATTTGTTCGCGTGTACGCAATTAATTTGAAAATTGATGACAAGAGTAAAAAAAGAAAAGAAAATTCACCTCAAATACGTACCAACAACACCATTAGAGTGAATCGTCGTAAGATCGAGTAGAATCACACAACTTCCAAAAAAAAAAAACAACGAATAATTTTCTAAATAAAAAAAAAAGAACACAAACCGATGATACATATATATACAATCCAACTTAAGTTACTTAGAGAGAAAATAATCGACAGAGTTAAAAAACACGTATGACAGAGAAGAAGAAGACACGGGTTGTTCTCTAATCGGTCAGTCGTCTTGTTGTCTCCGGAATCTGCGCAAAACTCGCGCAGAAACGTTTAGGCGCCGACTCCGATGGAGTTTCGGCATCCGGTTTCCCCTGGGCGGAGTTTCAAAGCCCCCTTTTCATACACCAAGAACCGCCCATGTCTACACCCTTGTATGCTCCTCTTTCTCTCTCTCTCTCTCTCTCTCTCTCTCTCACACTTTCTCTGTATATCCTTTTTCTTGTTCAGTCTATCTTTCTCGTCGGCATTTCTTCGGTAACGCGGACGCGCAAACGCGTCCCGAGAAAACGGCAGCTAATTTCGGAAGCGGTCGACCGCAGTGGCGCAGCCACCACTGTCGATGCTGTGCCTGTTTCACCATCTCCTTCTTCGAATCTTCTTATTCTTATCTTCTCTCACTCTTTTTCTCTCTCTCTCTCTTTCTCTTTTTCTCTTTGTTAGTCGATTGCTCTATCTTTCTCGTCTTTCTCTCTTCTCTTCTCTTTTTCCGAGCTGTTTGTCTCTCTCTTTCTCTTTCACTCTCTCTCTCTCTCTCTCTCTCTCTCTCTGTCTCTCTTTATAAATCGTGTCTCCTTTTACATCGATTCAGTGTATGGTGTCTTTCTGTCCTTGCTTTTTTATTCGTTTTTATTTTATTTTATTTTATTTTATTTTATTTTATTTTATTTTATTTTATTTTATTTTTGGTTTTGTTATTTTTCTCATCGACGTCTCCCATTGAAAAGTTCAAAGTTCGTGAATTATATTTTGACATGTCTAAATATTGTTCATACGAAAGATCATTGAAAAATTGTTATTTAGAAGAATAATGAAATATTGTAAAGAGGTGTTGTTGTATATCGTGACAGTTCTCACCACGACATACTGGAATAATATCTACTTTATTGTTTTAGGTATTCTTCTTATTATTGTAATTTATATCTTTGATATCGTATAATTATTCAATAAATATGTTAGTTTATTTGAATAGTGTGTAGGTGTGAGACCACGAGTTTAAAGAATGGATCCGTTGAGGGGATCCATTTTTTTAAAAATACGAGTGAAATAGTGAATATCAAACATTCGTATAATCTAATAACGTTTTGATGAAACGTATAAAGAGAATATCGTAGGAGTTGTTTCCAGCAAAGGGAATTATCGATTCGCGTAATGGCGGAGTTGAAGAAAAGCACATGCTATAGTTTATTTATAAAGTATAAGAAAAGTATAAATAAAAAAGATTAAAATTCGTTGACGTTCGAGAAATTGATGAATCAAATGATATTCTGTCGGTGCATCGTAGTCGAGTACGATGATCGAGCAAGTTCCTAAAAGATGACCCGCGAGCATTTAATTAAATCGATTGATCGAATGTAAGAGTAATAAAGTGTTGAAAAAGTGTTGCGACTCGATAAATCATCGTGTCTTTCATTGTAATATCGATCTCATGATTTTTCACCATGCTTATTTCCTTTCTCTCTTCCACTCGGCCTCCATTTTGTTTCGTTTAAAGCGTCGCTGTTATCGGAGGAAGAAAACTTGTTCGTGATAATCGATACGTGAGTGACACTCAATTACATCATTAATCGCCGTCCAATCGACGGAATACACAATTCGATCGTTTCTTATTCGAGTTGTTTCTAATTTCAATAACGATCGATCAAACATAAATGGGAAAGTAATAAAACTCGTTGGAGAATATTAACATTTTAATTATCGAGTCTATAAAAATCACGAATTTTTCTGATTTTTCTTATTCAATTATGTAACGTATTTCAGTTAATGTTTGCTTAATTATACTAATATTTCACACGTACACATTCGATTATTGTGTTGAACGCCAGAAAATATTGGGTTTTACAAGATTCAATTAACAAATAAAGTAAAAGTAGATAATTCATTCTAATCTTAAGATCCGTAGGAAAGAGTGGAAAAATAAAAATGAATAGCTACCCCTATAATCTTTGAATACCTCGTTGGGAAGAAATTTGAATAGAAAAATATTGTTGATTTTCAGAAGGGCGAAGCTCCCATTGTGTTGGCTGCGGGGGCCGAATTCACGACCAGTGGATTTTGAGGGTGGCACCGAATCTCGAGTGGCACGCCGCCTGTTTGAAGTGTGCCGAGTGTCAGCAATTTTTGGACGAGCATTGCACCTGCTTCGTTCGCGACGGGAAGACCTATTGCAAGGGAGATTACGTCAGGTGAGCGGAAAAATAAAAAATCAAAATAAGCAGCACAAGTAATCATTTCACGAAAGAAGACAAACAACGTTCTTCTTTCTCTAACAAAAATGGAGAAAGTTAGAAACCCTGACGCCCAACCCTTTAAAAGATCCTTCCACGAAATTCTTATTCGACGAAACACGCGCTATCCCTTTCTTCTTATCCTTATCGGTTTTCGTATTTTTCCTTTTTACGATCCGCCGTCATAAAACTCGTGGTTGCTGCCTATGGTAGTACCGTTGATGCTGTTGTTGCGATGGTGATGATGGTAATATTGCTGGTGGTAGTGACGGTGGTGATGGTGGTGGTGGTGGTGGTGCTGCTGCTGCTGGAGCGGTCTTGAAAAAAAGAATAGAAAGAGAAAGATACGCGTTCACGAATTCCAGGAAAAAGGTGGAAGGCGTACGCTCGAATCCCGATCGAACTCTGCGGTATGGTAATTAATGCAAAACTGTCCTTCTTGTCACTAAGAACTCGCTACATTCTCTCTCTTTCTCTCCTTTACTCACACCTACATAGATACATTCATGTATACATACGTACGCATATATATGTTGGTAACACGCGATAGGACGTAGCCGAGGAGGCTAACCGGGATTGAAAAGGAATAAAGAAACGCGTTCTGGAGGAATAAAAGAGAGAGAAAGAAGAAAAAAGGAAATGAGAGAAAGAGAGAGAGAAAGAGAACGACTGGGAAGTATTTTTATCTGTGAACCCGTAGCAACGAGTAACAAACGCCATATAAACTCCGATCGAGTCGTCCTGTTTCGTCCGAACGAAAAACCAAACCAAACCAAACTAAACGAAATGAAACGAAACGAAAAGTTGTCTCGTCTCGTCTCGTCTCGTCTCGTTTTCGTCTTCGTCTCGTTCCATATCCTCGCGTAATGTTGCCATGTAGGTATGCAATGTGTTCGAGACGAAAGAACATGTGCGGACAGTTCGCGCGTGCAACTGCAACGAAAAAAAAGATAGAAAAAACACGAGAGTGTAGTAACGTTGCTCGCGCCGAGCTTGCAGAATGAAATCCGACGACGGATCGAAGCTTTCGACGACGGCAGACAAATCTCTCTCTCTCTCTCTCTCTCTCTCTCTCCCCCCCCCCTATCTTTCGTTCGTCCGGATATTTCTACGTCGATTTGTTTACGATAAAAAAAAAACAAAGATCTTTTATGTCACTTTTCTTCTCGGTATTCTTTTTTATTTTTTTGGCGTACACACTCGCGGAGTAATTTTTAGAGGCAATGCAACTTGAGCTTTTTTTACCCGTCCGTAGCCGTCTTTTTTTCTAGCAGGTACGATTTCGACGTGGACCAAATATTTTTCTCCCTCGGGGACAGGCCGTTTATTTGCATTGATCCGTCAAACGTCGAAACGCCTTGGAAAGGCCGAACGAGAGAGAAGAGAAGAGAAGAGAAGAGAAGAGAAGAGAAGAGAAGAGAAGAGAAGAAGAAGAAGAGAGAGACTGGCGTATCCGGTCGACTCCGGTGAATTCTCTCCAAGACATGACATTCGCCGGTTAACTTGTTTGTTGTCCCTGTCGCTTAGTCTCAAAAGTCAAAACGAGAGGAACGAGCTCAATTTTTTTCACGATTTTTCGGTAGCTACTCGATGATTCTACTTCGAATATCGAAGAAAAATTCGTCGTCCCTTTTTTTCTGATTAGCAAAGAAAAATGTATCGATAGTTATCGTATTCCTCCTCGCATCCGACTATGAATTTGCGATTATATACGCCTACAAAGAATATTTTAATATAATATTCGGTTTCATCCCTTAAAATCGATTTTCTAAATGCAAAGTTCGCGAATGCCATAACACGCGAACATAAATAACACTCCCCGCGTGTAGTACACGCTTGTTTATGTTTCGTTTCTATACGATATTACGATATATCAGAAAATATAGGAAGGTTATTGTAGGATCGGGTCAGAATACTAGCCAATCGAGTCATATATTTCGAGTCGATGCGAAACGTTCGGTCGGATTATGAGCGTGCACCGACAGCCACCCGTGCGATTCGTGCTATGCACTATCAGATATTGAAGTGTATCATAACTTATGGGAAACGAGCGAGAGAGAGAGAGAGAGAGAGAGGGAGGGAGAGAGCATAGGATGCTATCGAGATTAGGATGCACGCCAATAAATATTATCTCTCTCTCTCTCTTTCTCTCTCGCTTTCGTTCAACAACCCGTGCCTGCTCTAGCGCAAACTACAAACTACGTAAGCCATATTCGCAAAGTGTATGAGAATATCGAACGATAAATGTGCATTTTCATGATAGCTTTAACAAATCCGATAACTTGTCTATCTATTTCTCGAAAGAAGAAAATGATTAAAATTCATGACTTTTCTTGAAAAAATTTATCTATATACTTATATATTTCTTTGTTTCTATCATTAATATAAAGTACATATGGTTTGTCGGATTTTTACAAATTTAATATTAACTGTGACGATAACAATAGGGATTGTCGACGCCAACGCAACTACCAATTACGGTACAACCAGCCAATTTAACTCAGACATCATCAATTCTATCAGAAATCTTTCTTTATAGATATAATATAATCGATCATGCTAATGATACCTGACTACGTTCCATACATTCGTTATCCAAATATTTCTCATTGTCGATTGAAATTACGAATAATACAAGTGTATCTTACGTACTGTATGTATTAACATGAATTTTCATCTTGAAACGTTTCAGATTGTTCGGTACGAAGTGCGACAAGTGCAGTCAGTGTTTCAGCAAGAACGAGTACGTGATGAGGGCAAAGACCAAGATCTACCACGTGAATTGTTTTCGTTGTTCAGCTTGCATGAGGAAGCTTTTACCGGGCGATGAATTCGCCCTTAGACAGGACGGACTTTTTTGTATGCACGATCACGACGTACTAGAAAGTGGAAAATTTTGTTCGGCTACTGGCGGTGTACCAGGCAGCGAGAACAACAACAACGCTTCCTTAACAAACAATAATCATCATTTGCATCCAAACGACGGTTCGATGTCGGGTAAGGAAGGAATTGAATTTATTTTAATCGCTACACAAAATTATTCGATTATTTTGATTCCACCAAAATAGAAACAAGAAAAAGAAAAAGAAACGAGAATAAGAAAAAGAAACGAAAATAAGAAAAAGAAGAAGAAGAAGAAGACGAGGCGTTTTCTTGTTTAAGAAAAAAGCAAAAGACACGCGAGAAAAAAAGAAAAAAAGAGACGTTTGGATCGTGCGTAGTTATGTACGACAGTAGTTGGCAGGGTGGTGTTACATTTGACACCTCTCGTATACTCTAAAGACTTGTCAAACCACTGTCCGTCGGCTTGAGATTCGTTTTCGAGTAGTAGATACTTTTCGAGTTTGAGATAGAATGAGTCGAGACGAGAGGGATTTCGGCTTGCTGCTCCAATGATTTCCATACAGGAATCACGATGATAAACAGAGCACAAAAGATGAAATGAGTTACCGTGTCACGTTGTGGTGACACGTTCGTACCATACTGTTTGCATTGGAATTAGCGAGCAAAATTTATTCCTCTCCCTCTCTCTCTCTCACTCTCTCTCTCTAATCTTTTTACCTCGTACCCTTTCTGGTACATATTCTTACTCACGTTTTTAACCATAAAGTAGAATCACTCGTTTCGGTCTAATCGAAATGTAATTTACGTTACGTACAATATCCTTTAGATTGCATAGCTTGTGATAATAACTTGTTTACCCTATCTCTTAATGAAATCTTTCTAATAGCATATTAATTACTTCTTTACTAAAACAAGTTGAAAATATTTTTTTACAAATTATTTTCAACAAACATTATCCTTATCTTTATCAGATAACTAGTTTGTATATAATTATTCGTTTTATAAAAAGAAAAGAAAAGAATTTGTTGAAAACGTTTCTAAAATATTATCTCCCTCGCTGCTATCTCTCTCTTTTTCTCTACCGTAGTCTAAATCGTAAAAACGATCATAGTAGATTATCATAGATTATTAGATCGTTCATAATTCAATATCGAACACCTCGGACGTACTCATATTACCTAATATGGGCGGTGGTGGATGGACATTGAGCCATGTAATCCCATGCGTGTAGGAAGAGGGTGTAGTGGTCAAGCCTTTAAGTTCTCAACGGCTTCAATTATCAACACCTAATTACACGTGGCGATCCTAACACAACACTATAGTCGTTCTAGTCATCGTCCTCGTTGTTGTCGCCATCGACGGAAATCCCTTGTATTTCGTAGACAGGCTTTATACCCTCGGGCCGGGAACCCTTTTGTAAATTTGCTCTTTGTACCCCCGATATTCGACAAGAATCCTTCCGACGTTTTGATCCCGCGAATAAATTTCATTAGGACGAGCTCGTTATCCTAGAATTATTTCAAGATTCATACATCGAATTAATGTCCTCGGTATTGCTTAAATATCTTAGAAGATATGTTTCTTCTTTTATACTTCATTATTTTGTGAATGATTATTTTGTTAAATGAACGAGCCAATGAAGTTGAAATGTCGTCAACGATGGAATAAGTCTGTTGGTATTAAGCCAACTTGAAATTTATTCTCGTTGTAAATGTGAGACGTTAAGTTGAACGTATGGATTTATATTACGGTCATTACTGATTCCCCCCCCCTTCGATGAGAGAGAGAGAGAGAGAGAGAGAGAGAGAGAGAGATGATCATTCGACGTTCATCCTACGAGCAAACAAAGCTCGATTATTTCATTCTATTTGTAAATGTGCCACCACAACGATAATGTATTTTTTCTTTTTTACATAAGGGTAGTTATTCCGAAATCGAAGTGACTATTTCTTCTTTTTTTTTTTTTTTTTTTTTTTTTTCAAAATGATCTTCGTCCGCTGACAGTCTTCGTCCTATATCTTCTTTCATAGTATTTGCTTAGGATACCAAAAATAGCCAGAAAAGATTTCATTTGTCCAGCAAGATGTTCTTGCATTTATCCTCCTTCTGTTTTACCGTCGGCAAACAGTCGATTCCATCGAAAGACGAAAGTTCTCTGTCTTGTACCAACTCTACGAACCCTTCACCCCTTTTAAACCCTTATTTAGACGATCCAAATTCCATTTTGTCGTGTACATTGAATACCATTTGACAGATTTCTCACAGAGATCAATTTTCTCTTTCTCTCTATTTTTTCTTCATCACGTTGTTGTACATATCGACATACGCAGTGGCATCTTTAAAAATTAATTTAACGATTCGTAACAATTTTCGGGAATACATCAAAGTTTTCATTTTTGTTTCCTTTCCAATCTTTCTTCTAAAATTAACCGTTTAAGTGTCAGAGTTTGATCCGAGTCAAGTTTTATCGCGTAGTATATATATATACTACATCATAGTTTAAAAAATGATCATTTTATTGTTTCAACTTTTTTTTTTATAACGTCGATAACCTTGAAGTTGAATTCAATCAATTCTTCAGGTGTTCGTACTAAAATTATCTACTTGTCTATCAGTTTTATATAAATTCCTAATAGTACTCTACGATTAATTATCATTTTTTATTAATTAGCGTTATTTTGTATTCTTTTTATATAAGATCGATGACCTTGCTGCGTAAATATCCGTATATTTAGGAAGATAATGATTATTAAGATATTCCTGAGAGTTCGATTCAACGAATTTGTTCGTCTTCTCTAAAAAATAAATTTCCGAAGGACTCCGGCGAAGCACCGTAAATCAAATAGAACCAATAGAAGGAACTTGGGAACGTACTCCAGGGGAAGAACCGACAGACTCGATGTTATCCAAGGACGTGCACAGAACGCGAGCTCTATGGTCACGAATGCGCGGATCCGAGTTTACTCATCGACAATATTGTTTCTTCGTTCTCCTGCTCTCTCGAGTTCTTGTGCCGCGAGAGGAAAAAGAAAGAGAGAAAGAGACGCGATCGTCGTCGGTGCCCTTTGCGTTCTTCACCGGCCATATTGAAACAGTATCCGGATCTCCCATTAGCTCGGACCTCGAGCGTTTTGCAGGACCGGTTGGTACGATACCAACGGTACGATACCTACGGTATGATACCTACGGTACGATACCTACGTTCGCTTCCCATAAGGGCACCGCTTCTCTTCAAACGTTTTCCACCCTTCGACGAGTTCGCGAAAGTCACTAGTTATAGTCTTGCAAATATTTTCTTTAATCTTGGAAATAAATTCGATCGATTCGTCAAGATTCTCCGATAGAAAACTGATCGCTTTTTATTATCCTCTTGGCATCAATAAAAATAAAAAGATAAAACCTAATTTATTTAGTATTTCTCTCGTCCAAAATTACAATTTTTAATGATAAAATTTTACAGGGAACTTGGACATGAAAAGAAGTAGAACTTAGTTTGATTAAGTTGGACGTTTCGTCCCTTTATTGGGACTTCTTCAGCAACTGTAAATTTTATTTTATTATAAATTCTTGATACGATACATGAGGTTCATACAAT